AGACTTTTTACTTATTTACTTTTTAATTTATTTACTAAACTGGCAAAAAGCATTTTTCTCTATATATTTTGCATATTTTAGTCTTGGTCTCACCCCCCTAAATGGTGTCACCTGGTGCGATTTCCCCCCCCCCCCCTGCCCCCGCCTTGCGACGCCTCTGCTCTCGCCCATCCTGTAGTGTATCATGTCAAAGTATCGACTAAAATATACATTTATCCAGATCGTATTTTACTTTTTTCCATTGAATCCTAAGTGTGTTGTTTATTTTACTGTTGAACTAACACATTTTCCTTCAGTGAATCTCTAGTTTGTTGTTTATTTTACTATTGAACTAACAGTTACCAAGAACTCCAGTGATGTAGAGCTGTATGGAGGCGAGGTAAATCGATAGCCGGGTCCCTAGAGCCGAGGTCTCACTTTAACTATGGATCTGGACCTGTCCTCTTGCGGTCCCTTTCAGCGGACCGAGTGGTTTTAAAATATTGACAAGATTTTCTCATGCCAGGCGCCCGGCAAACGCTGGCCATTTACAGGCTCAACAGTTGACGTCTGCAACATTGTCAGTGAAATCTTGCCCACAAATCGATCAGAAATCGATACGATTTATGATCAGATTTGAGAAGACGATAAATTATAGATACCGCTGTTTTGCAAAGAACATTTTAAGGAATTGATTTTTTTTTTCCGTGGGACTTGAACTATGAAAGACTTGTTCAGATTTTTCGAATGTTAATTTTTCAAATCTCGCTCTTAAAGAACAAACGGTTCGCGTGGGTATTTCCATGACAAGAGGTGTGGGGGTGGGGGTGACGCTGGTGCCAGTGTGGGGGTGGGCTGGGGACTGGCACAGGACAATCAATGGCTCCACTGGAAAGATGCGGTTTCTGAGATAGTCTCGCCGGTCCCAGACTACTCCAAATATTTGTCTACGCTTTGTCTTATATCTTTGGCTGGTTAAAGTTTGATGGCTCTGGCGCAGGCAGGCAGCCAACCGGACAAGCCCAGGCCAAATCTCTGCCCCATTAGCCGGGAAATTATGAAAAACTATTCCACTTCTTGCCGGCGACGAACATTTAAAGCACATACAATGTAGATTTTATTTTATTGTATTTACATAATAAAAGCATTTGTTTTTCCTTGCCCGTCTTGGAAGGTCTTGAGATTTGTTAAACAGCTTTGCTTTGTGAAAAGACGGAACAAAGGAAGCGATGAGGCCCAGGCTATGTTGTGTGTAGACGGGAGAGATAAAGGGGAATACGGTGGTGGTGGTGTTGGAATAATCTTATTGCAACATTTTTACAACATCCAACGTTCACATACATAGGTCATCACATCAGTTTATTGCAACATTTTTACAACATCCAACGTACACATACATAGGTCATCATATACGTTTATTGCAACATTCGTTCAACATCCAACATCCAATGTACACATACATAGGTCATCACATATGTTTATTAAACACATTTGACCAACATCCAACATCCAACACAAATTCATCCCATCACTACATCAAGGCTGTGTGCACGACTACAGTGCACGCTAGTGCGCTGAGAGTTGCACCGTTGACGTGCACCGTTGGCGGTGCACTGACGAATACATTTTACATAAAGGTTAATGAGTACAAGGTGAGACGCTCTAGGTCAAGGTCATACATAAACAACTTACAACTACACCCATTGCTAGCCTCAACCACCACATCCGAGGCTACAAATTTACTTGCAACAAATGATCAAATGTTTTTTAATCTGATGGCTAGTAGGTCTATTGTACAATACAATAAAGATCAAGTATCGAGCAAAAGTAACATTTATATCAGCCAAAACATCATCTTTGCACACATTTTAAGTTGTGCATCAATTTTGGAAATGACAGATGACTTTGTGATGAAGACTACCAAACAGTTAAGACAAAATAATAGATTTTAAGGCAAGTAAAAAACTTGATATTTACGTTACAATTATTGATATTTACGGCATACAGACACAATCAATGCTTACAGAAAACAGAAAACAATTACTACATCAGACAAAATAGTTTACATTTCCAGCAAACGAGAAATGTTAATGGTACATCTCACAAAAAGTTGAAATTTTTTTTTGTTGGCGTTTACAGTAAATAGAAAGTTGAATTTCGTGGTGGAAAAATATTAATATTTGAGGCAGAAAAGTTGATTTTTACTACTAAGAGAAAAAGTTGATTTCTACCCCAGACAAAATATTGATTTTAAATTGGGTTTTTTTTAGACAGACAGAAAAGTTTACATTTACGGCAGGCAGAAACAATAACTTAGCCAACAGAAAATGTTATGTAACAGTTTTAACAAACAGAAAATGTTATGTAACAACTTCAGCGAACAAGTGTAGTCCTTGTAGTAAACTTGTTTAGCGGTATGTAGTGAAACTAGCTAAAATAAACAAATGAAAATGTAATAAGACTTTGAATGAAGTTTGACACACATTCGTCACACATGTGTCACATATGTGTCACACATTTTTCATACATTTGACGGTTGGGATAGTCTGAGCGAGAATAGAAGAAAAAACTGGGAGCGTAGAAAATGAAACGGAAGTATTAAAATTTTAGACTTGTGAGAATGATTCGCCATTTTGTCTGAGTCGAATAAAACATTTTTATGGTCAAGTTTTCAAGGGATTTCTCGTAAACTTTAGGGCCAGAGGTAGGGAGTTTTGTGTTTAATGGTGTTTGATGTGTTTAATGTGCTTAATGGTATTTAATGGTGTTTAATGTGTCTAATGATATTTCAGAAGAAGAAAACTTTCATGTTAACATTCAAATTTGGGTTTAAAAATTTTCATTTCTTTTTTTTTTTTTCAACACTGTAAGTCTGGTGTTCTGCGATATTTAAGGGGGGGGGGGGCGGTTGTATGCTTTTTCCATGTTGGGTGTGGGGAGGGGGGTGTAGGCCCTGTCATGGGGGAGGGGCTTCTTTAGGCCCTGTCCATGTGTGTGTGGGGGTCCTGTATTCAGCCCTTGTCCGTGTGTGTGGGGGGGGGGGGTCCTGTATTTAGCCCTTGTCCACGTGGGGTCTGTCTGAAGGTCACGTCCAGAGGAGGGGGGGGGGGGGCTATGGTGGAACGTGGTGACCTGTAACTGGTAAAGAAGGGTGGGGCTTGCTATCAGCAGATTGGGGGGGGGGGGGGGCTGTAACGTTTCAAAGGTAGACCCACTGGGCGGAGAAATATTTTGAACTTAAAATTAAAAATTGCGATACCCTACATTTTATGTGATCGATTACTTATTTTAAAAACATCACTCCAACAAATTTTTAACAAATGAAATTGTAAAGATGTGCACTTCTAACGGAATTGGTCAATAAGTTATTTGATGTTTGTATTCATACTTGAATCCAATAAGGTTAATTGATGTTTGTATCGATACTTGAATAAGTTAATTGATGTTTGTATCAATACTTGAATCCAATAAGTTAGTAGATGTTTGTATCAATACTTGAATCCAATAAGTTAATTGATGTTTGTATCAATACTTGAATCCAATAAGTTATTTGATGTTTGTATCAATACTTGAATCCAATAAGTTATTTGATGTTTGTATCAATACTTGAATCCAATAAGTTAATTGATGTTTGTATCAATACTTGAATCCAATACCCCTTACTGTTGGCTAACCGCTTTACAAGTTTTAGCAACATTATCCCTACACAGACCTAAAGTTAGAAGTGCACTGAATGTGCCGTCAATTTTAAATTACTTATACATTTTCTCTGGCGACCAACGGCTTTGATTTTATTTATTTTTTAAAAGTCTTATTAAATTTGAATTGATTAGAATCATCAAACGGGACATTGTATGCCCCCCACTGACTGGGGCAGATTGCATTGATTCAGCAAAAAGGGGCATCATCAACTTGTAACTGGTGGGCTATTCATATCAAAATATGAAGCTACTTTGTTGAAGAGAACCCAGGGATTCAAGATCTAACGAGGTTTGTGAAAGTTATTTATTTAGTCGGTCTTTCGGTTCGTTCAACATTTGAAATCTCGCTAAAAGGTCTAGTCAAATTTTTAGCATCGTTTTCATACAAACATATTTTTGCCTCGCTTTCACAAATGTTTCATATTAGTTTTGGCGAGTTTTAAAAAAAGCGGCTCCATTTGTGTCAACAAAATTAATTGAACATCAAACGTAACCCTAGGTCGAGTTCCAGAACTAGGGGTGCCGCCTTTGACGCTAAATGATGCCTCATTAATTATGCAAGACTACTGGTTAGTGGCTTGCAAAATAAATACGCAAAGATTATTTGTCGCATTGACATCCCATAATTTCAGTGCGTAGCTTCTAATCTTATTCTGTGAAAATATTCTGAAGAATCGCTACGACTAGAATAAACGGAGTTTGAATGGGTCCGTATTGGTTCTATTTCAGGGTGAACGTTGTCGTACCTATAGTGTATGTCGTTTCACATGTGGTGTATGAGACTTATTATGTGGTGTATGTGGTCTCCTATGTGGTGCATGTGGGTTCCTATGTTGTTACACCGATGGTGTGTCATGTGAAGGTGTTACAGTTTGGTGTAACAAATGATAACACCTTCCAGTCCTTCAGCATCTGATTGCTTGTAACAAATTTAATGACAGACTAGCAGATGACAGACTAGCAGTATGACAGACTAGCTGTATGACAGACTAGCAGTATGACAGACTAGCAGTATAATAACAGACTGACGACATACCACTAGAATCACGAGAAATGACATTACGGTGATAGTGACATTCAGTGACAATGAAGAGGTATGACATACGGATATGTCATCCAATAAATGACACACAAATGTGACAAATCAGAAAAAAATTTGACGAGTGATATACAACCACACCAGTCTACCACAAAACGTAATGACATACAACCACACCACATTAACCGCTAAACGAAACGAACACTGAACTACAGCAGTATCTTGATAACTTACAAAAACGGTGGGTTTTTTTTTTTTACAAAATAATTTAATGGCTTAGAGACACGCATGAATAAACATGAAGAAAATGTAAATACTACAATCACAATACATCAAATTGCATCATTTGAATCAACTTATTTATAATCTATAAATAGACAATTTCTCTGACATCTACTATAGAATAAAAGAAATTTGACAGCTATAAAGCATTTTGGCTTTTTGGATCAATAAAATAATTTGTCATTCACATTCAACGAGTCTTCACATTTGGAAGAAAATTAAAATTAGTGTTACATATCACTTTACTGGCGACGGCAGACGCAGTAGAGTCGAGCTACTTGGCTGACTGTCTGGCGTGAGATCAGGTGAGATCTGAGATCTCAAGTCAAGTTGACTGAAGTCATGTCCAGGTGAGCAGGTCACCGAGGCCAGTTGACTGAAGTCATGTCCAGGCGAGCAGGTCACCGAGGCCAGCCCGATATGGCGCATGCCTGCACGTACTGTCGGTATTTTTCTAGGTCAAGTGGCGTTAGGTTGGACAGAGCTCCCGCGAAAGGGGAGGCGAAAGCGCTGGTGGCTCCCCCCGGCCGCCCTGGCAAGTCCCAGGGCGCCGACCTCAGGGCTTGCAGGGAGGAGAATGAAGAGAATGATGACGTCAGGTTGAAGCCGGCAAGACCGGCACGATAAGCCGGCAACAGGGCTGCCGCTGCCGCCACGGCTGAGGGCGGCGCCAACATGGAGGAGGGGGGAGAGGTGGTGGGGATGGATTTGGGTTCGGTTTTGATGGATAGAGGTGTGGATGTGGATGGGGAGGGGGTGGTGTGGGTGGAGGAGGAGGTGCCGATGATGTTGTCGATCGTGAAACCTTTTTTCTGTGTGGTAGACGTGGACACGGTGGTACTGGGCTGTAGCCGTGACTGGGGTGTGGGGGCGGGGGGTGAGGAGGCGCCCGGGGAGGGTGAAGATCTGGGTGAGGTGGGTGGGGAAGATGGAATGGAAGTTTTTCTCTCAGAGACCGGAGACTGCCTATCCTGGACCTCTAGCTTCTCCAACTGCCGGATCTGGCTGTTGGGGTTACGGTGGAGCGTCATGGAGGACATAGGACTATGGTGGAGTCCTGGAAGTCCTACAGGACCCAGGGGTAGGTGGAAATGTGGGGGGCCCGGGTGCGGGGCGTGGTGGGGGTGTCTGACGGAGTAATCGTTCTGCATCATGGAGAGGGAGTGGCTTAACCCCGGGGGCATGTACGGGTAGCCCAGGGGTCCTGAGCTGGGGTGGAACGCCCCGGGGTGCGGGGAGTGGGGGTTGATGAAGCCGTGGTGATGGAAATAGGAATCAGCGGCGGACATGAAGGCGGGGTTCTGGCCCATCATGTCGAGGTGTGATGACCGCTTGTACCGCTTCCTCCTCCTCAAGAAACTTCCGTTATCAAACATGTCTTCGCTAGCCGGGTCTAGCGTCCAGTAATTTCCCTTGCCGGGATTTCCCGGTTCCCGGGGAATCTTGACGAAGCAGTCGTTAAGCGAGAGGTTGTGCCGAATGCTGTTCTGCCAGGCGGGGAACTTTTCCCGGAAGTAGGGGAACCTGTTCATGATGAACTCACAGATTCCCGACAAAGTCAGCCGCTTCCGGGGCGACTGAAGGATGGACATGGTGATGAGAGCGATGTAGGAATACGGCGGCTTGACTAGACTGGACTTTTTCTTCATGGAGGCGTGGCCGGGGTTGGCGCCGTGCGAATCGTCTGCCGGCTTGCTGCCGTCGTTATCCTCGTCGTTAATATCATAGTCTTTTGATGGCGATAGCGGCGCGTCGTTATCCATGGTGTGGCAAATGTCGTGGTCAATGTCCTCGTTGTCGTACCGCGACATAATGTCTCTGTCCTCGTCATCTTCATCATCGTGGTGATGTTCGTCATCGCTGGCCAGAGAATGTCTGGGCGAGCCATGGATCCGTGGTGAGGTAGGTGGAGGAGAGTCGACCTGGAGTAATTCTTCGTCTTCCTCGTGGTTGCCGCCATTTTGGCGGGAGTTGTTGGCCAGGTCATAGTGACCCAGGAAGTTATGCGCGTGAAAGTCTGACTTGGGTGAGTGTGTGCGGTTGTTGTCTGCTGACGTGTGACGGTCATCGAAGGGTGAGCTGTCCTCACTCGACCCGTCCTTATCCGGGGACTGGTGCGCAGAGTTCACGACCCCTGTGGGGGTCACGGACGGTGACCCGGGGTTCCTGTGGGGGGAGTTGCGTCTCTTGTCGTGTTGGGGAGAGGCCCTGAGCTCATGCCTGGCATGGGTGGCAGAGAGCTGTCGGATGTACTCCGTGTAGTGCTCGCGGAAGTCGGCGCCCGGGCGGAGGTCGGACAGGTAGGGTTTAGAGAAGCAGTCCTCCCCCTGGCCGTACCCCCGGGCCTCCCCGTGGAGCAGACCCAGCCTCTCCCTGTGCAGGCTCTGCAGGGCCGACATCTGGCTGTAGGCTGAGAGGGCAGACGACTCCATGGACGAGGAAGATGATGACGACAGAGGGGACAGGGATGACTGGAGGCTGTTGGGGGCGTTGGTCAGGGGGGTGCTGGCCCCCAGAGGTGACGTCATGGAGGGGGAGGTCTTGTTTGAGCTGTTCATCCCGGGGTACAACGCCTGCTGGTGGGGGAACATATGCCCCTGGGTCAGCCCTTGAGAAGGGGGGTAAGCCAGCGACAAGTTCATGACGTCATAGCGCATCGCCAGCTCTCTCTGATAGGTCTGAAACAGAAGCAGACAAAAATCTGGTTACAGAGGCAGACAAAAATCTGGTTACAGAGGCAGACAAAAATCTGGTTACACAGAGGCAGACAAAAATCTGGTTACAGAGGCAGACAAAAATCTGGTTACACAGAGGCAGACAAAAATCTGGTTACACAGAGGCAGACAAAAATCTGGTTACACAGAGGCAGACAAAAAATCTGGTTACACAGAGGCAGACAAAAATCTGGTTACACTGAGGCAGACAAAAATCTGGTTACATACAAGCAGACAAAAATCTGGTTACACAGAGGCAGACAAAAATCTGGTTACACACAGGCAGACAAAAATCTGGTTACACAGAAGCAGACAAAAGTCTGGTTACACAGAGGCAGACAAAAATCTGGTTACAGAGGCAGACAAAAATCTGGTAACACAGAGGCAGACAAAAATCTGGTTACAGAGGCAGACAAAAATCTGGTTACATACAAGCAGACACAAATCTGATTAAGGATTTCTTTAAGTTTGAGGAAATAACATTTAATAACCGTAAGCATATTTCAAATTTTAATCAAAATTTATTTAAAAAATTATTGGGTGCAAAATTAGTTTTAAAACTACAGTAGCTATTTATTATTATTTTTGTTGAGCTAATCAAAGTGTTAGAGCTACTAGATTTAACAACTAGTGAGCACGCTGATATAAAAAATGTTCCTGGATTATATTACCTTATATTACACTTTTTTTTAGAAATAGAAATTTGGATTATCGATTTAAGACTGAGATTAGTGGTAGGATATTTAATACCCTGCATGTATGTACGCTTAAATTTCTCATGTAAGTAATTTACAATGTTTAATCGTAAATTAATGAGAAACGTGTAATTAATGTCTCAAGTGTTTGCTAAACACTGCATACCCGGTGCAGTAAGTTCGTCTGACCCTGGGGGGGGGGGGGGGAGAGGGTATAGAGTCCTTGCAAACACGTGACCTAAATCACGTGATACCTACGCCCGCCGCCACAGTGGTGTACATCAGACGTAAACACAATCAGCTGTTCGCCAGCGCTGGACGTGTTCACCGTAGGTAAAGAATCGCGCCCGCGGAAAAGGAAAAATATGTTAAAAAACTTGAACTCTTAGGAATTGAAGATCCTTATACAGTTATTGACAGTTTCGTGGATAATATAAATATGTGGCCGAAATTTCTAAATAAAAATACTGTTAGTAATACCGTTTGCGTTTAGAGTTTAAGTAGATGAAGCTGATCAAATGCAGTAATATATTAGAGGTTATCTACTCTACTGTAGCAAACGTGAGACCACTTAACTCCTACAAAACCCACACTACAACGGCTAATATAATCCATGGGTAATAACCAATCTGGGTAGCATGTTATACAATTTAAGACCCTTAAAATCCACATTAATACTGACGTTCAACCCTCATAATGGCTGCCCCCACCTGTATCTAGCCCACAATAAAACCAAAGAGGAGTCTGCCCTGCCCTCCCCTGAAAATGTCTCACCTCCGTGATACCCAGCCCCACAGAGATAGTATTTCTTATATAATTTTGACCCTCAGGGCCCAGCAGGGAGAACAAAGGGGAAAGTCCCACTGCTCTCCCCTCAACACTTCTCACCTCGGTGTCATGTTATGTCATTTATAGCACACGGCTTATCAGGGGAAAGCATTAAGGCATTAAGAATCTTAACTCTGGACAGCTACACACTAGTATACTAGCTACACACTAGGTGCCTACTGTAAACTACTAGACTGTAGGCCCTATGTAGACCTGCAATTGTATCAATTGTAGACTGGGTCCATTGTTATTATTCTAAACCATCTCACTTATAATGTTTCTAGCTTGATTTGTTTCTTTTATAAACAGTGGATTTAAAAAAAAATTAGCCTAATCATTAACCAAATAATAATAATGTGGTTATTTGTTGTTGGCTGGTATGATCTAGATTGTACTACTAGGCTACAAAAACTTAGTAGACCAATTACTAGATATGAATTTGAATTTAATTAAACTCAGTCCAGTATCAGATACAATCCATATTGCTGTAAAAAGACAACAAAGTAGGTAGGCCTTAGTAATTTATTAAAGCCTTCTACTACAATAATATCAACTACATGCTTGTATAAAGTTTTACAATTTAATTTAAGTAGCAGATTCTAGATCTAAGTCTAGTTATATAATCTATTTCAATTTCAGAAAATTTCGTTTGCTAAAAAAAAATGATTAGATAATAGAGCGAGATTTTAGATCTTAGAGACAATTAAATGCTTTATTAGGCCAATTATGACTACTTTTGATTTATTATGGGTGTATTTTGAATCGAATGTAGATCTAAAGTAATTAAATTTAAGTAAAGAAGTAGATTCTAGATTCTATGTCTACCCAGCGGAGCCAGGTATTAGGCCTACTATTAGATCTTATTATTCTTATTAGCCTATTACTTTTGACTTTGTCTTTTACTATTAGTATTTGTGAAGGTCGAGCATATTTGTTTTATTAATAGTTATCTTTTATAACTAAAATGAAGTTTATTATTTTACTGTCCTTACATGAAACAAAGTATCGAGAACTGCATTTTATCATATTCGGCTACTTTAACTCTAAACGCAAACAGTATTACTAACAGTATTTTTATTTAGAAATTTTGTCCACATATTTATTTATACGAAACTGTCAATAACAGTATAAGGATCTTCAATTCCTAAGAGTTCAAGTTTTTTAACGTATTTTTCCTTTTCCGCGGGTGCGGTTCTTTACATACAGTGAACGCGTCCAGCGCTGGTGAACACGTCCAGCGCTGGCGAACAGCTGATTGTGTTTACGTCTTGTGTACACCACTGTGGCGGCGGGCGTAGGTATCACGAACGGACGTGACGTCATATGAAAGGACTCTATTTAATCTGATGAGTTTTCGAGTAAGTCATTGACCCCAGTTACGGCCAAACTCAGAGCTTCAACCATTGTACAATCACAAGTTTAGCCCGAGTAGAATTCATAAGTTTAGCCCTAGTACATTTGATAAGTTTAGCGATTCTTTATGTCATAAGTTTAGCCCTAGTAGAATTCATAAGTTTAGCGATTGTTTGTGTCATTAGTTTAGATATATTCGTCATTCGTTTTATTCTACTAAGTGTCATAAATTTAGCTATAACATATGTCATTAGTGTAGTTATATTATAAATGTCATTAGGTTTGCTTTCATATGGAATCGGTTTAAAACACGGTCTATGTTTAAAAAAGAACGACACTTTCAATAATTAACCAACCGCCCTTTTAACCATTAAAAAAGTAAATTAACATTTTCATCGGATAATTCTTTTAATTCAATAAAAATGTATTCCGTGCCTCGCTTCGTTGACACAAGCATTTAATAGACCCCCCCCCCCCCACCCCATTCCACTAATGATGTAGAACTCATGACCTGCCCATGGTAAAAATAGCAATGTCTTGTACAACTAAACAATTAGCGTAAAATTAATTCGCAACATTTCAAACCAAAAGGCTGACAATAAAAGAAATATTTGACGCTATATTAAAATATTTCAATCGTTTCACTTTTTGTCATCAAACATTTTAAAGTTTTTTCGACGGAAGCCTACGACTTGAGCTTTTGTATATGAAATCCCATGTGTTAAATATGTGAATGTTCCAGAAACTTTACCTCACCTAAATCTAAACATGGGTCATTTTTTTTAATTCTTTATATTTGATTTAATTCTGTTTTAAAACAATCTAAGTATTAATACGATTTTTAAAAATAAATTCTATTAAAATAAAAGTAAGATCGACAATTGAAGACATTATGTACAAGCAAAGTGACAGTGCCCCCACCCCCCCAACCCATGGTACGGTAACCCAAGGGTCAACTCGGGTCGCCCCATCACCCGCCAACCCGGTTCAAATCTACTTGGAAAAAGCAGATTTTTTCATTAACATGTGCTAATGTTCGTTTTGGTGTCACCCTTTGTATGGTGTCACCCTTTGGATGGTGTCACCCTTTGGATGGTGTCACCCTCTGCGGTATATCCTAAGTTTTTGTACATTATGTTTATGTCAGTATGTGGTAAAGAAGACATGTGGCTGAAATAAAGTGATTTGATGCTGCTGACCACTGGCCACTGGCCTACTAGGTGAGGTGTTTGTATTTTGTTAATTGTGTAAATATTAAAATTCATGTCTGTGAATAATCTTTTGTTTATACATTGATATGTTCGCTAAAATAACGTTTGAAATATTTTAGACAGAAATATATTTCTTCAACAACAAAATCCTGAATGAAATTATGGAGATCGATAATTTATTTTCCAAATCATTAGGCCTAACATTTTTAAATAAACTTTATTATGAAGCAGCACTATAGTTAAGTACTACATCAGCGCTACAGTATAGTTAAGTACTACATCAGCGCTACAGTATAGTTAAGTACTACATCAGCGCTACAGTATAGTTAAGTACTACATCATCACTAAACTAGAGTTAAGTACTACATCAGCGCTACAGTATAGTTAAGTACTACATCAGCGCTACAATATAGTTAAGTACTACATCAGCGCTACAGTATAGTTAAGTACTACATCAGCGCTACAGTATAGTTAAGTACTACATCAGCGCTACGCTATAGTTAAGTACTTCATCAGCGCTACAGTATTATACTACTACATCAGCCAGAGTTTCTTCCAGGCATCTCTTCGGGGAAAAAAGTCTATCACACCCCCCCCCCTCCCCCCCCCCCCCCCGAACGAAATGGAATTTATATAGAAAATATATACTTTTGACAGTGTCCGCCCCCCCCCCCCCCGAAAATTACTGTTGAGGTTAATGCTGAGGTTACTGCTGAGGTGAGCCGCAAGTCCAGAAAACGTGTCAGATATCAGATGAGCCGCTGAGTTCACTGACCTGTGTTCTAGTACTTGATTGATGACGTAACAGCGTCACAATTTTAATCCACTGCATTAATCTAATACATCAAATCAATATTTTTTTTTAATCCAGGACTCGTCATGAGAAAACATTTGATGTTTGTGCATTAACCGTAATAAAAGATAAAAAGCCTAAAATTAAAAACCTAGGCCTATAACTAACTCGCAACTTATACAAATGAAAATATAAAGGGAGTGAACTGGTCACATTTCGACTGGTCGTTAATTCACTGGTCAAGTTTTTTTTTTAACCAAACACAAATCGCTGTCTTCATCATCAGCAAAACTACAAAACACAAGTCTAGTTTACTGTGAGCCCATAGATAACTATGTATTTTATTGTATCCTTGTTTTTTAAACCAAAACACAATTCTAGTTTACTACGAGCCCATAACTAATTCTTTTTATTTTATAATTATTTTTTAAACCAAAACATCCTTAAAAACTATGTGTATGGTAAATTCGGCTAGGCTTACTGAAATAAATTAATATATGTTTAATTAAATAATTAATTAAAAGTTCTTGCTTCGTTTTCATTATTATTTACAATTTATAATGATTAACCAATTATAACGATTAATCGATTATAATGACGAACAATTTATAATGACCAACAATTTAGAATGACCAACAGTTTAGAATGACCAACAATTGATAATGACCAACAATTTAGAATGACCAACAGTTTAGAATGATAATTTAAAATGGCTAACTATTTATATTGCCTAACTATTTACATAAACTATTTATAATGACTATTTATATTAACTAACAATTTATATTCACAAACAATAACGACTAGCAATTAATGATAAATAATTGATAATGAACTACCAATTCAGGCCAATTACGACTAAAAAAAATTAAATCAAATAATATGTTGGCCTAATGACTAGCAATCTAGACTAATTGATAGTTGAGTTTGACTAAAAATTTGATGTTTCTAAAGCTGTAATCAAATTGACAACTTACTATCAAATACAACTTGTCATTGACAATTTATTTGGGGCAATTATCATTTAATTTTACTGATAATATTTTCAGGCTACACGATCAATAAATATCACCAAAAATCCAAATTTGTTTCAAATCATTTTTCGCTTACAGTATTTTAGAAACTCACTGTCACCAATATGTTAGATAGAAATACTGTTAACAATTTAATTTTAGGCCCGCGATAGCATTACTGTTAATTAAATTTTAGGTTGACACTAGCAATACTGTTAACAATTTAATTTTAGATTGACACTAGCAATACCGTTAACAATTTAATTTTAGGTCCGCGATAGCAATACCGTTAACATTTAATTTTAGGTTGACACTAGCAATACTGTTAACAATTTAATTTTAGGCAAACGCTAGCATTACTGTTAACTAAAAAATATGAACCAACATAAAACGAGATTGTGAGAAACATGGGATTCGAACCCTCGCCCTTTAAAAGATTGACTTATTGCCGAGTTTCAATGAGAGCCGGGTGTTGCCCGCCCCCTCCAAACCCTCTCCACACACACATAATAAAATAAAATTAACTATGAATTCTAGATCTAGATTATTTTCGGCGCTTTATTGTCTTCCATACCATACTGTTCAGTCGTTACCATACTAACCTAATGAGTAAGACTAATGGTTGTTTTGTTTTGGCTTTTTCTTTTAATGTTTTCGCACTTATTTTTACAACAAGCGAGGACTAGGTATGGGTGCAAATAGTCAACCGCTTGATCAAATGAAATTTGAGTTGGTATAATGTGATCATCAGTCCTTGCACTGGCCGGGTGTATGGGGGGTGAGGGGGTGGGGCGGCTCTTAAGGCCGTACAAGTGTCTGACTCTCTAATGAGATGAAGCCTAGCACGGACCCCCCCCCCCCCCCCCACAGGACAAACGATGGTATCAGTTTGATCATCAATATCTGCTCGTGTATTTTCTGTTTTCTGCTGTCTGTTTTCTGTCTTGACACCCCGCTAAAGATACAAAAATATTGTCGGAAATGTTTTCTTTTGTAACTGGCAATATCACGTCTATTCGTTTCTTTTCAGCGTTTTTTGGATGAATATTTTTTTTAATTAAGGGAAAACGATATGACCATCAAATGCTTGTATTTCGTGCTGATGTTCACTGGTGGTGTTCTATGTTGTGTTTTGTGGTGGTGTTTTGTGGTGGTGCCGTTTGGATTGACTTGTGTGGGGGTGATATGTGGCAGTGATTAAATGATGAGTGGTGTGTGTGTGTGTGTGTGATTAATCTTATACTGCGGTGTAATTATTTTACATTTGAATAAGTGGAAAATTTGTATGTATAATTTTTACTCAATCATTTTGATGTGTGATTGTCACTCACTCATTTGGATGTGTGATTGTCACTCATTTGGATGTGTGATTAACATTCAATCATTTGGATGTATGATTAACATTCAATAATTTGGATGTGTGATTAACATTCAATCATTTGGATGTATGATTAACATTCAATAATTTGGATGTGTGATTAACATTCAATCATTTGGATGTATGATTAACATTCAATCATTTGGATGTATGATTAACATTCAATCATTTGGATGTGTGATTAACATTCAATCATTTGGATGTATGATTAACATTCAATCATTTGAATGTATGATTAACATTCAATCATTTGGATGTGTAATTAACATTCAATCATTTGGATGAATGATTGACATTCAATCATTTGGATGTATGATTAACATTCAATCATTTAGATGTGTGATTAACATTCAATCATTTGGATGTGTGATTAACATTCAATCATTTGGATGTGTGATTAACATTCAATCATTTGAATGTGAGATTAATATTCAATCATTTGGACGCAATCCAGTCTGAACAGTCAATCTTGTAATGAAGTCACACAGTGTTGTGTGGGCTGGTTAACTGGTTATTTAACATGTGGTTACTGTAATGAGCTGGTTATTGGCGGTTAACTTATTAGCGACATGCTAACTGAATGTGTTGGCTGACATCGGCTAGTTCATCAGTTAATTCTCTAGTGGAACATACGGCTAGAATGTACGATCAGATGTTGGGTTAGATTTCAGGCTGGCACCTTTTGTAAGTCTGGCACCAACCACGGACTAGAGGTGGTCGGACGATAGGGCACTGTGTGGCGCTAATTTGTGTCGGTCAATAACTGGTCCAGGGTTCAAACATCGACAATAACCAAACACAGCAGATAAGTTGTTTTGTTTTGTTCTCTAATTTGTTTTTTGTTTTGTTTTTAAAAAGAAGGGGGTGTGGGGGGGGGGGGGCGGACTAAACTGTCCATACAATAAATCTGCGTGCTGCTCAGTGTTCGTGTAGTAGTAGAAACCCCTTCAGTAGCAAGGTGTGTTAATTAAGCTAATTATCCTGTTTGTAAAGTCATTGGCTAGATATTGTCTAGACATTAACTTACTCAACGACAGTTAAACATGTCCTATTGTTACGCTAAGCCAACACTACAATAACTAAAACTACAATAACTAAAAATACAATAACTAAAACTAAATTAACTAAAACTACAATATCTAAAATTACAACGGATACAATTAAAATAAAAACAGCCGGATAAGATGAGGTTATCTTTAAATTTTGTAGATAAAACAAAAAAAATTGAAGTATGGTCTACTCACGTCCAGTGTTAAGTGGTGACCAGTTTCACACGGGTCAGCCTCATACGGGTCTCAAACACGGGTCTCTCGGGTCGGGTAGAGCAGATAGATACTCCCAGGGAACACAAGAACACACAGACCCAGCCCGTAGTAGGGCGACAGCCGACTCTAGCGATGGTGTAGTGGAGTTTGGTGCTGCTGTCTGTTGACTGGTGTTGGCTGAGGTACTGGCCGTGATCTGCTAGACGGCTGCTGAACGACATCGGCTGTCACTGGCTCGGCCTCTGACATCCAACAAAGTGAGAGATTGATACCCGGGCCCCGCCCCCTTGCCGCTACACGCGCCGGTGCCGTGTAAACTTCCGGCTAGGCCACGCCTCCTTGTGTCACGAACTAGCGAATGGCCTGCCGGTTAAGCCGGCAAGCGCGAGCGGCGATGGGCGTCAACGTCCGCCCCCTCCCCCGCCCCTCCCCCGCCCCCACACTGTAGCAACTCGCTGGCCGACCGGCAACATTTTTGTGGGGTAAAAAAAAATATCCGCCATTTTGTTTTGAGCAGAACTCACTGGAGTGTAAATAGTTTGTTGATAAGTCGCTGTCTACGTCATCTTAAGGCTACACGGGGTGTAGGGGAAGGGGGGGGGGGAACAAAGACAGTTCTAGACACCTGACCCTAGCCTAGAGCAATATCTTAAGAGCCAACAGCTCTTTGAACAGTTTCAGTACCCCCCCCCCCACACACACACACACCTTCACACACACAAACACCTCCTGGAAAGAATACAATACTGTTACCTAGCCCTCACAAAGCCAGCATGAATGGAGTGACCAGTATACTAGAGATGTTGTTATTAGAGCAGTCTAATGGCTCGCGGTCAGGTACACTAATTAGTACAGTTACCCTTTCCAACCAGTCCACCCATGGAGCAGGGTGAAGTAGAGTTCAACTGTTTGTATAACCTAGGCACATGAAGGGATAGTGTGGTCAGCAATTAGCCTAGCCGTATTTACTTGCCTTCCCTAATGTGAGTTAGGTACCCATTAGTGCTGGGTGGTTAGGTACCCATCTGAGTTGGGTGGACTCATTGAGTCAGGTACCCATCAGTGTTGGGTGGACTAGGGTCAGGTACCCATCAGAGCTGGGTGGACTCAGGTACCCATCAGAGCTGGGTGGACTCAGGTACCCATCAGAGCTGGGTGGACTCAGGTACCCATCAGAGCTGGGTGGACTCAGGTACCCATCAGAGCTGGGTGGACTCAGGTACCCATCAGAGCTGGGTGGACTCAGGTACCCATCAGAGCTGGGTGGACTCAGGTACCCATCAGAGCTGGGTGGACTCAGGTACCCATCAGAGCTGGGTGGACTCAGGTACCCATCAGAGCTGGGTGGACTCAGGTACCCATTAGAGCTGGGTGGACTCAGGTACCCATTAGAGCTGGGTGGACTCAGGTACCCATCAGAGCTGGGTGGACTCAGGTACCCATCAGAGCTGGGTGGACTCAGGTACCCATCAGAGCTGGGTGGACTCAGGTACCCATCAGAGCTGGGTGGACTCAGGTACCCATCAGAGCTGGGTGGACTCAGGTACCCATCAGAGCTGGATAGACTTTAAGACATTCTACTCACTCGAGCCCGTGAACCGAAAGGGAGACTAGTCAGAGTCCTTTAAACGACACATTATAGAACCCACTCTTTATATACAACATACGTGCCCTATACAACACACACTTTAAATGTCACACAGCTAACTTATGCAGCACACATAACACTATTAGAAACATTTTAAAATTATTATAAGTTACCTGAATGTTCATATAACTCATATTTGATACTTGACACACTTCGTTGAGCGGGTCCTGTATGTTCCTACTTGTTTGTTTATACTGGTTTACATTTGTTACAACCAATGTAAGTTTTCATTTTTCGCTAATATAAAACCAACTCTTCAATTCAAGAAAACACAATTTAAAACAAAATACACTAGAACTGGAGTTTAAGTTTTGTTTGCAGGTTGACAAGGGTAGATTTTCGGGGTTAAATGTACAGTCATCAACTTCTGTTTGATGTACACAATAATTAACTTTTAGGTTAGAGTGTACAGTGTGGGTGTGCTATGTCGGTGGATCAGCACGTCCATTAGCCGGCAACCGGTTAATTACAATCACTATTCGGCTGCTGAAATGCCGGCATATAAATCTCATCAGATTTTGTATTTAACTTTAGAATGCCAAAGTGCTAATAGATATATGAAGTTAAACTGTTTCCAATATAAACACGATTTCTATGTCTAAACAATATTTTATTCATCAATCAGATACATAGGCTATTATAGTGTAGATTATCAAACACGACAAATTACATTTCTGTAGTTCTGGTGATAGACAACTTGCGACAGCTGGTCAAGTATAGCACGTCTTCAAAGCGTAATCATGACATCCCGCCACGGCCGTACGTTCGTCACAATGACGTCATTGCTCGTTTTATTGACGTCATGGCAGGTTTATGGCGGAGTAGGACGTCCATCTTGTTTGCTCGCACCGTGACTGATGACGTCAGTTACGTCATTCACGTGCTGCCTGTCCAGCAGATGTCGGTCTGGCACTCCGCCCACCCCCACCATCCCCCCCCATCACCCCGCTCCCCCCCCCCCCCCACATTCCCACCCAACGTTAGCATGTAGCTGATTAAGTGTCAACACCACCACCACCCACACCCCCAACTTGTGCCGTACTGTGGCTACCTCACCCACTCACCTTCACCCACCTTACACTACCTCGCGATGTTTAACTCTAGCCCTAACCAGACTGTTGACCCAACGTAACTAAACGGATTAGCTACCAAACACCTCATTCAAACCGTGTCTACAAACCAACGGATTCAGAGTTTCTTCCAGGCATCTCCCCCCCCCCCCCCCCCCCCGAAAAAATTCTACCGCCCCTTAACCCCCCCCCCCCCCCAACGAAATGAAATTTATATAATTTATATAGAAAATATATACTTTAACAGTGTCCGCCCCCCCCCCCCCAAAGAAAGTCTAACCCCCCACCCCCCCCCCCCCGAAAATTTCAAGTGCCCCCCCAACCCCCTCCCGGAGAAAAAGACTCGAAGAAACACTGAAACACTGAACGATTAGCTACCAAACACCTCATCCAAACCGTGTCCACAGAAACTAACCTAGAGAAACAGCCAACAAGTTTGTGTTCAAACTATTCAAAAACACTTTTTTAACTAACTTTTACAATTTGCAATACAGCATTAGATAAATAAAGAAGAGATATTGTAATTAAAAGAAAATCAATTAGAAAAGTATATAGCAGTAGCTATAAATTCGAGACTAGCCTAACTAAACCACGGTAAAGTTACTACAAAAGTGCGCCTCCCCACCGACTTTGATTGCTAGTGCTAAAAATGTCCAACATCTCCCAGAAACTGGGCTGTTATACACATCTGTCGACTTATTGTCCCACCTTGACTCAGTCTAAATATTATTCTGACATTTTTGTCGACAAAAAAAGAATTTCCCCCGTCATATTCTTGCCATTGTCATAAAATCAATTTGTATTTAATGTGTGTGATCTTTTCACTAGTTGGCGTTTGACTGACTGGCAAAGTATGACAGATTTCATGTGATGTACGTAGATTGTAACACCAGTCACCGTGCTTTGGTGTTTGTATCACCAGTCAGTCGAGGTGTGAAGTTTGTATCACCACACACCCTTGGTTTGATGTTTGTAACACCACACAGCCGGGGTTTGTTGATGTTTGTCACAATTCAGCCAGATTTGATATTTGTATCACCACACAACCGGGGTGTGGTGTTTGTATCACAATTCAGCCGTGTTTGGTGTTTGTTGATTTAAGCTTGACCTGTGCTTGTACTCACCAAACAGCTGGATCATTGGTCACGTGTTGACCCAGACTAGTGAGTGCACCAACTGACCGGAAGTTGTATGTCATTAAATTTGAGTACTGCTAGACTTACCTTTTTACCTCACCATTGAAATGGCCTCACCGTTTTCCTTTCTTGACCAAATTTCGTGGTCAGTTCAACATTACATACTTGACATTACAATACTAACTCTGCCACTCATCTGATTATAACAATTTGTTTTAAACTTGACATTTGTAGTGTTTTGTTGAGTGCATTGGAGCAGAAGATTACACGTTAATTAATACAAGAAATAGAAATGTGTTTTGGTCTCATTGCTAATTTTTAAAATCTCGAGTTCGGACCCCCGGGGGATGAGGCATGTCAGCCGGGGATAACAATCTATACTGGAGAGAAAACTACAAAACCAAATAACTGCGGCCACGCCATGCAGACTGGCTTTTTTTTTTTTTTTTTTTTGGACAATGGCTATAGATCTAGAAGCCAATCCAGCAAGAAAAACAGGCTGAAGTGTGAATCTACGGGTAATGCTGCCATGTACCTTGTGTTGAGGGAAATCTCCATCCAAACATTCAAATTAAAACACAGTAGAAAAACAAGTTGTATCTGTTTCACTAAAGATTCCGTGCAAAGAAAAAAATTAAATGTTTCTTCGTACTAAATAATCTCCATCAGTAAATTAAAATATCGCAGAACAACTCACTCAGTGAACAACATGAACGTGACGACAGCAGCAGTCCCACGTGCCCGCTTCTATTTGGATAGATAACAACGTGTCGCACTTTAGACCTGTGTGTGTGTGTCAAGTAATTTGTTCAGAATGTTGGCACCATATGGTGATCGTAGTTTCAGTTTGCATTCAATCCAACATTCCATCCAACATTCCATCCAACATTCCATCCAACATTTCATCCAACATTCCATCCAACATTCCATCCAACATTCCATCCAACATTCCATCCAACATTCCATCCAACATTCCATCCAACATTTCATCCAACAATCCATCCAACATTCCATCCAACATTCCATCCAACATTCCATCCAACATTCCATCCAACATTCCATCCAACATTCCATCCAACATTCCATCCAACATTTCATCCAACAATCCATCCAACATTCCATCCAACATTCCATCCAACATTCCATCCAACATTTCATCCAACAATCCATCCAACATTCCATCCAACATTCCATCCAACATTCCATCCAACATTCCATCCAACATTCCATCCAACATTCCATCCAACAATCCATCCAACATTCCATCCAACATTTCATCCAACATTTCATCCAACATTCCATCCAACATTCCATCCAACATTCCATCCAACA